TGGCTCAGCCTGTAATCCTGCGCCTTGGGAGGCTGAGGTGAGTGGATTGCTAGAGCCCGTGGATTCGAGACCCGCCTGGGCAACTTGGCAAGACCTCATCTCTACAATAAATAAAAAACTAGCCGGGCGTGGAAGCGCATGCCTGTAGTTCCAGTTGCTTGGAAGGCTGAGGCGGAAGGATCGCCGGAGCCCAGCAGGTCGAGGCTGCAGTGGCCAGGAGTGTGCCACTGCACTCCAGTCTGGGCAACAGAGTGAGACGCCAACTCAAAAAAAAAAATCCATAGAATGCTAATATGAAATACACTACAGTATTCATGAGGGTTACTTCTGGTGCTAATTCTGGGTGATTCCAGTCCCCAGTTTCTTTACTCACTATAATTTACTCACTTTCCAGAATAAGCACTATTACCTTTAAAATCAGAAAACTGTAGGCCGGGTGTGGTGGCCTGTAATCCCAGCACTTTGGGAGGCCAAGGCAAGAGTACTGCCTAAGTTCAGGGGTTTGAGACCAGCCTGGGAAACTTGATGAGACCTTGTCTCTACCATAAATCAAAAAATAAGCCAGGCGTGGTAGCGTGAGCCTGTAGTTCCAGCTACTTGGAAGGCTGAGGCGGAAGGATAGCCTGAGTCCAGCAGGTCGAGGTTGCAGTAGCCGTGAGTGTGCCATTGCACTCTAGCCTGGGACTCTGACTCAAAAAAAAAAACATCAGGAAACAAATATAACAACTTTTACAGTTTAATTAATCAGCTAGTTAGAAGCTAAATCTAATAATCAATTTGCATATTCTAAAGTTCAACAGAACTTACTCCTTTCTAATGCTGACTTTCAAAGGAGTTCATCCATAAAGCATTCACACTTTCCTAAGAATTCAAGTGAGGATTTATTGCTTTTCAAACTAGATAATGCTGAATTACTCCAACTCTCAGAAATTCATCAAAAAGAAGACTCAGTCTGTTAAAATGTTCACATCCCCAAGCTAAAAATGGATACTGAACACAACAGCACCCATATTTCTGGAGAAAAATCAGTACACATGTAACGTCTGTTACAGAAGTCAATTTAGAGCATCTTTTCCACGCCATTGATGACACTGGCCTTGGGAGTATTGAGTCCCTCTGCTTCCCCTGTGCACACAGGTCTGTCAGGCCTTTGAGGAGAAGGTGAGGTGCCATCAAGGGTCCAAACTTTCAGCGTTTCCTTTGTTTTCATCCATTCGGGGCCGTTTCAGCTCTGGAGGACTGCTCTGAGAGTCTCCAGGCATCTCTGAAATAGCAAACAGAGGTTGGCATGTAAATGTTTATAAAATACAGAGCCAAGACAAGGAACTGAACTGCCTGGTGAGACCCTACACTGATAGAAGCAAAGTATCTATACCAGGGGTTTTCATCCAGGGACGATTCTGCCTCTCAAGGGATAGTAGGAAATGTCTGGTGACATTTTAGAATGCCCCTGGCATCCAGGAATGCTACTAAACATCCTACAATAGATAGGACAGCCCCCACAATAAAGCATTATCCAGCCCAAAATGTCAAGTCACCAGGCTGAGAAACCTAAACTCAGCCATCTCCTCCTGAGCCCACTCTCTAGCTCACAGGGATGCTTTCACTGCCAAGTTGGTCTCCCTGCTGAGAACTCAAACAAGCATCCAGTGGCTCTAATAAGATGCATCCTTGCTTTCTGCAAACTGACTTAAGATTTAAAAAGAACAAATGAAAGTGTACTCTATCCTTCATTATATTAAACCAGAAACAATATCACCTACCTGATTGAATTTCCTCTGTGGAAGGGGTTGAAATTACACTGGTTGGGACAGAATTCGGTGAAGTATCTGTCTTTAAGGGTATTAAGTTTATTCTCCTTGATTAAAAAAAAAAAGGAGAGAGGTGGATGGCTCATTAGTGTCATAGGCATTATTTCATGTATGATAAGTTTCAAAACTACCAAAGTATTTAGCCGGGCTCGGTGGCTCAACCTGTAATCCCGCCCCTTTGGGAGGCTGAGGTGAGTGGATTGCCTGAGCCCGCAGGTTCGAGACCCGCCTGGGCAGCGAGACCTCATCTCTACAATAAATCAAAAAAATCAGCGGGGCGTGGTAGTGCACGCTTGTAATTCCGGCTACTCGGAAGGCTGAGGCGGAAGGATCGCTGGAGCCCAGCAGGTCGAGGCTGCGGTGGCCAGGAGCGGCCACTGCACTCCAGTTTGGGCGACAGAGTGAGAATCCAACTCAAAAAAATAAAATAAAATAATAATAATAATAATAATGTGCCCACTTGTTTAGTAACTAATGATTACATTCTCGTACTAAGTTAAACCATCACATCTATAAGGGTCACCTTAAACCATAACTGATTATCTAAAAGTTTCAAAACCTGTTTTGTGAATTACCTATGGCCTGCTGAACACTGCTGGCTGCTTTATGTAGAAGGCTATCAGATGCAGTACATGGTTTCTATATATGGAAAGTGCCCAAACATAGATAATTATTTTTTAAAATCTAGAGTCTTAATTTTCAACAACTATTAGTGTTTTTAAAAAATTTACAGGCTGGGTGCAGTGGTTCATGCCTATACTCCAGCACTTTGGGAGGCCGAGGTGAGAGGATTGCCTGAGTCCACGGGTTTGAGACCAGCCTAGGCAACTTGGCAGGACCTCATCTCTACAATAAATCCAAAAACTAGCCGGGCGTAATGGCACATGCCTATAGTTCTAACTACTTGGAAGGCTGAGGCAGAAGGATCACCTGCTGAGACCAGCAGGTTGAGGCTGCGGTGGCTGGGAACATGCCACTGCCCTCCAGCCTGGGCAACAGAGTGATACTCTAACTAAAAAAAAAAACCAACACAAAAATCCTTACAACTGCAAAAAGCTTAGAAGAAATCAAGATGGGAAAAACAATTTAAAACCAAAAATAGTTCAAATAATACCTTTCCCCACCTAAAAACAAACAGAAAATGTAAAAACACATTGCTGGTCTACAGGGAAAAAAATGAGATTTAGAAAGAGTTGTACACCTAAACTGTATTATGGATTTTTCTGACGAAGACTTGTGAACACAGCAGAAACGCAAGAGGCATAGATGCTTCTGTCTAACTTGCCACCCCCAGCCCTTTTTCTCTATCCCCCTCCCCTGCCCACCTCCCAGTTCTGTTTATCTGGAAGGTTAGAAGGTAGAGGGACTGGTGGAGAAGGAAGTATCCACAGTCAGAGAGGATAGGTGGTCATCAGTTACAAAGGAAGGAAAGAAGCTGCAGGCTACGCTGCCTGGGGGCAGGAGGCTGTGGGAGTGGCTTCAAGGACAGCAGGAGCAGCAGACAAAGGCATGCACACCGACAGACTAATATGAATAGGGCAGAAACAACTGTAGCATCACCATGGAGACTATTTATCACCAGGCCATGATGCCTATTTCTCCTGAGCCAGGATACTGGAAAAGTCAAACATGGTCTCAAGAAGACCCTCCTTGGATTTTCCTTATTTTTTTTCTTTTTGTGAGTCAGAGTCTTACTCTGTTGCCCAGGCTGGAGTGCAGTGGCACACTCACGGTCACAGCAGCCTTGACCTGCTGGGCTCAGCTGATCCTTCCACCTTAGCCTTCCAAGTAGCTGGAACTATAGGCATGTACTACCACGCCCAGCTTATTTTTTTATTTATTGTCTCACCAAGTTGCCTGGTCTTGAGCCCCTAAACTCAGGCAATCCTCTTGCCTTGGCCTCCCAAAGTGCTGGGATTACAGGCTTGAGCCACAGCACCTGGCCTGATTTTCTATATCCTAGGAAGCACCTGTTACTGTCCTGGGCAAGATAGCATAGGTAAAAAACAGGGACATACCTCCTGTCCGAAGGGGCTCCTTCTCCAGCAGGAGAACAGAAGCATCAACTAAGCACCCACTATCAAATGATGTGTGGTGATCAGAAAAGGGCTGAAGAGCCCCAAAGACCAGGAACAGGGAAAGGTCATTCAAATGAGCCTTTCAGGAAGATGCTAATGTCACCAAAGGAAGCAGATGACTAGCGCTTCCCCAAGGAAGGTAATGCACAGAGGTCTCAAAGGGCAGAGTGTGTTCTGGAAACACAACATTCAGGGCTGGGCTAGAGGTTGAGGTCTCAAACTTAGGAGAGCGAGTGATCGCAGTCCTGGACAGCAGGCTGCAACCAAATCACGTCCATGTGCATGCATGGCAGCCTGGGCTTTATCTGGCAGACAGGAAATGAAGGAACCAACAGAGGCCTATATGCTAGAAATGGCATTCTCGAATTTGATGATAAGCAATTTCTACAGCAGCATATTGGTATAAAGTATTTACTACAAGGAATTTCATCCGTAACAGGTGATCAGTTTGTATTTCATTTTTCATTTTGCAATGACAAGTTGTTATTCCACCAGAAGTTCTTACCGGGGTGTTGTCTTGCTCCAAGCTTGCAATGTGTTCAAAGTTACCCTCCGGGATGGGTGGGCTTTCATGTTTTGACTACTGGGTTGCAAGGTCTTCTCCTCTGAAGGCCCAGGCAAGGAGCTTTTGATACCAGGAGGGATTGAGGGAGTGTCCTTGATTGCTGCTGGGGCTGGAGACTGTCTGGCCTGAGGGGGGGTTGTACAGGGACTGCTAGGGTCTTGGGTTCTGCTGGTGGGTGTTCCCTCTACCAGTCTGGGTCCTGGCGAAGACCCTTGGTGCGTCTGACTCTTAGTTTTCTTTGTTGTATCAGGAGTTCTCATGCTCAAAACTGGCTTCTCTTTCAGAGGAATTCCAAGTTCATCTTTCTCAAATGTCACAAATGAACAATAACCATCCGTGGAAGAAATGGCCAAGAAGGCCCCATCGCTGGACCTTGGTACCCAAAACAGGGAGAAAAGTTAAAGACGTCACCAAAGTGTATGGACCACACTTACCACTCTCATTACTAGTTAGAAAATCAAGTTCAAGCAAAATAACAAGCTTTGCCTAAAGGCAAAAGTCAGGGAAAAAAACAAGACTAGAGAAGGATTTAGGCGAGTTCCTTACTCACGCAGTTTCCATTCCCAAACCTATCTCAATAGGCAACGTCTCTGCATATTGTCAACTTACATTTGAATAAAGGTGAGATGACCTTTTTATCCTCCAAGATTAAAAAATATTAAAATTTAAAAAAGTTATAAGAAGCAAGAAGTAGATAGCCAGGCCCCAGGTAAAGCTCATGCTGGGCCCAGCAGGTAGGTGAGGTTGAATCAGGGGACCAGAAGGTAGCCAGAGGGCAGAGTGCCAGGTGACACCCTCAGGGCAGGCACAGCAGGCAGGTGGGGTCATGCAGGTAAGGGCTTCCTCCAGGAGGTCCTCACAAGTCCCTAGATGGCCAAGGAGTTCTGGGGCCTCCCTCAGTTGATCAGAGTTCAGTTAATCCCACAGGGCAACCTGAATGGCATCAACACCCACTGGTGTTAAAATAGGAAGCAAGTATTGTGGCAAGCTAGAAATGGCTTTCCTTTTAATGTTGATTTCTTTACAAAAACCAAAATTGATGAATAGGGCCAAAAAAGCCATCTCTAGTAATGAAATGTTTACTACCCCCAGGTCTATTCCAGGGTAACACACAGTCTCCTTCACTCACTTTCCCTCCTTACCAGCCACTCACCATGAGATGTCACTCAGGGTGTGGTAATGTATGTTAGACACATAACCAAAAGGGAAGGGCTGCTGGGTGTCGTACAGAAGCACCGAGTCCTCTGAGGCCACAGCGAACACCAGGCGGTAGGGCAGACTGATCAGCTCCACCCCTGGCTCCTGGGACGATCTGTCTACAGTGGGGGAAACAGGGACAAGGCAAAACATAAACAAGGCTACAAATGAAACAAATAACTCACTCCCCCAAAGAGCCCTCTCTCAGGGGTCCTAAATGACATGACTACTAAAAACTAGTTTACTGCATGCTTTACAAAAGAAACTGGTTCTTTATATTATTTTACATATAAATCTACAGATAAAAGAGAACCATGCATGAACCAGTGAGGATAGTATGTCACAGACCAAGAATCATGGGCACCAAGACCCGAAAAAGAAGAGAGAAGAAAAGAGGATGTGTGGATGAGGCAAGTCAATCTGAGAGGTCACGTTCTGATAACAAAAAACACAGGCTACTCAGAAACATTTTGTCAAGTGATGTTTACTCATTCACATAAAGGATCAAAAAGTTAAAAACAAGCCGGGTTCGGTGGCTCAGCCTGTAATCCCGCGCCTTTGGGAGGCTGAGGTGAGTGAATTGCCTAAGCCCATGGGTTCGAGACCCGCCTGGGCAGCGAGACCTCATCTCTACAATAAATCAAAAAATCAGCTGGGCGTGGTGGCGCATGCCTGTAATTCCGGCTACTCGGAAGGCTGAGGCGGAAGGATTGCCGGAGCCCAGTAGGCCGAGGCTGCGGTGGCCAGGAGCGGCCACTGCACTCCAGTCTGGGCGACAGAGTGAGACTCCAACTCAAAAAAAAAAAAAAAAAAAAAGGTAAAAACAGCTTCTGCTTTCCAGCCATGGAGTAACAGGAACCAGATTTACCCTCCCTCCTGAAAAAAAAAAGACAATTACCAGGCAAAATACACTAGCCATCAGGCAATGAAGGACAATGATCCCTGAGAGATGGGAAGCAAATGAGGTGGGTTCTACAATTGCCTCAACTTGGTGCCTGGTGAGTCTGCAGGCCTAGGAAAGGTAGGGGGCACCCAGGTAGAGCCCAGCAGACTTCCCGGGTTGAGAAGAAAGAGCTAGGAGTCCAGGACGGCCAAGATAGCTGGAGTTTACAGGGCAGACATCTTCAGGTTCCTCTTGGGTCATCAGCTGAGTACTGACCAGTACCTGCATGTGAGGCTAGAGCAAGAACTATCAGAAAGAACAACCCCTGAAGCTCACATAAGGCCAGAAACAGTGCGTGCTCTCCACAGCCAAAGGAGAGAGCCTCAGATTTCACAGGGCATTGATTAAAGTACTCAAAAGGCTTTACCTTAGGAGTAGGGAAATTTATCCCTAGACTAAATGCTGCCTAACAATACTTAAAAGCAAGACCCCCAAAATCAAAGTGTTTCTCAGTAACTTAACTGAGAATTAAGAACAAGCCTCAAGAATACTTATAAGAATAAAAATATATCTTGCATCCACTAAGGTAAAATACACAATGTCAGGTATCTAATAAAAAATTACCAGGCATGCAAAAAAGCAGGAAAATATGATCCAACTAAGGAGGGGGAAAAAATCAATCAAAACTGGCCTTTTGTACAAAAGGACATTAAGAGAGTTAATATAAGTGTATTCTATATGCTCAAGAAGCAAGAGGAAAGATGGAGCATGTAGAGACATGGATTACCTAAGATAGAGCCAAACTGAACTTTCAGCAATAAAAACATCACAGGTGAAAGATATACTAGATGTGACCAAGGGCAGATCACATAAAAGAAAAGACTGGTGAACTCAAAACACAGCTACAGAAACTTCCAAAATAAAACACCAAAATAAAAAAAATGGGAAAAAGTAAACAGAGTATTAATAAACCATGAGATGACTTCAAATGGTCTGACACATGTATTATTGGAGTACTTGAACACGAGAGGTGATAACTGAACAAATATTTGGAAAAAGAATGGCCCAAACTCCCCAAATTCAATGAAAACTACACATCCATAGAACTATGAAGCTGAATGAACTCTAAACACAATAACATGAAGAAAACAACACTAGGATAAATTGTAATCAGATTGCTTAAAGTCACTGATACAGAGAAAAATCCTGAAAGCAGCCAGATGGAGGAGAAAGTTAAAAACAAAAATCCAGTGGGGTATGGTGGCTCATGCCTATAATCCCAGCACTTTGGGAGGTGGAGGCGAGAGGACTGCCTAAGCCCAGGGGTTTGAGACCTGCCTGGGAAACTTGACTAGATCTCGTCTCTACAACAAATAAAAAAATTTGCCAGGAGTGGTGGTGCACACCTCTGGTTCTAGCTACTTGGAAGGCTGAGGCAGAGGGATTGTCTGAGCCCAGCAGGGCAAGGCTGTGGTGGCCGTGATCCACCACACTTCAGTCTGGGTGACAGAATGAGACTTCAACTCAAAAAACAAAACAAAAATTCCAATTCATACATAAATTTACTGCAAAGAAAACTGGTAATGAATGACATCTAACCAGTAGGAAAACAAAACTGGTAACTTAAATTCCTTTGAAGTTGCTTTAAGCAAGGTGTATCCTGAACAATGAAAAAAATTGACACACATTTTGATAGCATCAGTCTTTGCTTCAGTTTTTAAGAGTAACTAAACTGAACCAAATCCACATATTCACCTATCCCCACAAGACAGAGTCCAAACCACCACCCCACTCTGGTGACCTGTCTCAGGGAGAAAGCAATGCAACTCTGTGGCTCTGAGGATACCTGCTTCTACCACCGGCCTCAATTCAAAGTAGACAGGACAGCAGCGAACAGCAAGTGTTGCCTTTCCAGGACACGGAAGATGAGCAATAGGCCTAAAAGATTAATTATAGTTTTAGAAAAAGACACTGTTATTTGGCAAAAGTAAAAAGAAGAGAAACACATTTAAAATATTTCCTCAACTGCTTACCTCTTAAGATTCTTCCTGGAGAAAACGTAAGTTGTATTTGTTACATTTTCACCAGATTCCACACATCCGGCTGGGAAGCAGAGCAGGGACAGAAAGGAAAGAAAATTAATGTTGTATTAAACCGTTCACCAACAAAACTTCAATAACCTTCAATTCTGGTTTGTAAAATATTTTCTCCTGAAGATGTATTTTCTGGACAATGTACTTGTGGGTGAGAGCAAAAACAAATATTCCACACTGTCTGGTCTTACCTCCTCTCCTGCTCTATCTGTCTGTCATTTCCATGGAGGGATCAGCAGCCCCGGGACCGGCTCTGGTCTTGGGCAGAAAGAACCTAAAGAGGGAGCTCTTGCTACAGGACATCTTTGAGAATCCAGGTAATTCCTCGGTTGAAGTCGTGACTAGATCCAGCTGCCAGGCTTCACCTAGGAGCCCCAACCCTGTTCCCTGGATTTTGATCTCTGTTGCCATCCAAAGGCTGACACTTTGGCCTTTTCCCATCTGCCCAACCCAGCCATGAGCTCCCAGGAGACCTAGGCCTCTGCTGAAATATTCAGCCTCCTGCAGAACCTGACTTTGCTCTGGGGAACAACTCCCGTTTGAGAGCTCTTCTCCACTCACCTCACAATGTACTTAAAACTGTCACACAATTGCTCTTGGAAACACTTCTCTGTTTCATGATTTTTTGATACACATACATACATCTACTGGAGAGGATAGTAGACAGTATTAGTAGTCTTTTTTTTTTTTTTTTTTGAGTTGGAGTCTCACTCCATCACCCAGACTGGAGTGCAGTGGCACGCTCCCAGCTACCCCAGCCTTGACCCACTGGGCTCCGGTGATCCTTCCGCCTCAGCCTTCCGAGTAGCCGGAATTACAGGCACGCGCTACCATGCCCGGCTATTTTTTGATTTATTGTGGAGATGATGTCTCGCCAAGTTGCCTGAGTGGGTCTCGAACCAGCAGGTTCAGGCAATCCACTCACCTTGGCCCTCCAAAGCACTGGGATTACAGGCTAAGCCACCGAGCCCGGCCTTTTTTTACTATTACATTTCTGTCTAGCTACTCTCTCCCCGTCTTTCCCTATCCTTCTATTCACAAGTAATCCATTTTAACAAACCATTATGTCACTTCTATATTTCCTCCATGTTCACATAATTAAAACTAGTTATAACTCAATCGCATATATACCCTTACAATGGTTTTTATCTTGTTTATTTGTTTTATAAAAGGGAGTATTATTTGTACTTTCCTTATTTTGCTTGCCTCAGTCAACTCCTCATAAAAGGTAACTTGCCTAGCACTAAAGCATTTCCTTTTAGTAGCTGTATAATATGTACTGATCTGAAAGAATACCATCACTCATTTACTCATCTTCTGTTAAGGAGTACTGTTTTGCTTTTGGTTTCTTACCATGACAAACAATGCTTGCAATAAACATCTTTGAACACATACTCTTGTATACCAGGGCTTTCATTTCTTAAGGAGTAGGTTTCAGATGTGTGATGGATGGATTAGAGGTATTGGTGCATCTAATCGTTATCAGATTGCTTTCCAAAATGGTTGCTACAATTCACCTTCCTACCAGCAATACCCATTCTGCCCATCAGCAATAGGTATTACCTTTTGCAGTCTGAAGGGAACATATACCCAATTGTTATTTTAATTTGTATTTCTCTATTTTTTTTTTTTTTTGAGTTGGAGTCTCACTCTGTCACCCAGGCTGGAGGGCAGTAGCAAGCTCACAGCCACCGCAGCCTTGACCTACTTGGCTCAGGTGATCCTTCCACCTCAGCCTTCTAAGTAGCTGGAACTACAGGCATGTGCCATCACATCCGGCTAATGTTTTGATTTATTGTAGAGATGAGGTCTCGCCAAGTTGCCCAGACTGGTCTCAAACCCATCGGCTCAGGCAATTCTCTCACCTCGGTTTCCCAAAGTACTGGGATTATAGGTGTGAGCAACCAGGTCCAGTCTGTATTTCCCTATTATTGAGTTTCAGGACCTTTTCCTGTCTTTGTTGTATCCATAGATTTCCTCTTCTACAAACTTCCTTTTTGTATCCTTCATTCATTTTTCTTCTGAGCTTTTCTTGAATTCTTTTTTTGTTTGTTTGTTTGTTTTTCTTATCAGTTTGGAAGGGATCATTGTATGCGATATATATGAGCCCTCTCTTCCCTGTTCCATAATAATTATTTTCCAGTTCCATCATTTGTCTACTGATTTTGCTGACTGTATCTTTGCCATACAAAAGTCAAAGAGGTATATTATTTCTTTAAGAGCTTCTGAGTTTCCAGTGTTGGTTAGGTCTTCTCTCTTCCTAAAATGTACTCCTAGATTTTCTTGCAAGTTTTACCTTTCATATTTAAGTATTAAATTAACCTGGAATTTTTTTTTTTTTTAAGTCAGAGTCTCATTCTTGCCCAGGCTGGAGTGCAGTGGCACACTCACAACCACTGCAGCTTTTGCTTGCTGGGCTTAAGCAATCCTTCCACCTCAGCCTTCCAAGTAGCTGGAACTACTGGCATGTGCCACCATGCCCGGCTAATTTTTTTTATTTTTTGTAGAGACGAATTCTTACCATATTGCCCAGCGTAGTCTCAAACCCTGTGCTCAGATAATCCTCTCACCTCTGCTTCCCAAAGTGCTGGGATTACAGGCATGAGTCACACACCTGGTTTTTTTTTTTTTTTTTTTTTTTTTTTAGTCAGAGTCTCACTCTGTCACCCAGGCAGGAGTGCAGTGGCACACTCATGGCTACCACAGCCTTAACCTGCTAGGCTCAAGCAATCCTTCCACCTTAGCCTTCCAAGTAGCTAGAACTACAGGTGTGTACCACCACACTTGGATAATTTTTAAAATTTATTTTAGAGACCAGGTCTCGCCAAGTTGCCCCAACTGGTCTCGAACCCCTGGGCTCAGGCAGCCTTCTCACTTCAGCCTCCCAAAATGCTGGGATTTCAGGCATGAGTCATCGCACCTAATTTTTTAATATATAAACAAGGGCTCCAATTTTATCTTCTAACTGGATAACTCATACCATTCATTCAATAATATATCTTCCCTTCAAGAGTTCCACTGTACAGCATGGTCACTACAGTTAATAACAATATATTATATCCTTGAAAAATGTAGAAAGAGGATATAAAGTGCTCTCACCAGAAAAATCATAACATTGTGAGATAATACATGTTAATTAGCTAGATTTAGTGATGCCACAGTGTATATATACTTCAAAACATCATGTTATACATGACATAATATATACAATTTTATCTATCGATTAAAAAGAATAGGTCCTCACCCAATCTCAACACGTCCTAGCCTCCTTAATGACATATTTATGCTCTATTTGCCTTGAGTGTCTAATTCTCTTGAAAATTATTTAAGCAAGCCAGGCTCGGTGGCTCAGCCTGTAATCCCGTGCCTTTGGGAGGCTGAGGTGAGTGGATTGCCTGAGCCTGCCAGTTCGAGACCCGCCTGGGCAGGCGAGACCTCATCTCTACAATAAATCAAAAAATTAGCCGGGCGTGGTAGTGCACGCCTGTAATTCTGGCTACTCGGAAGGCTGAGGCGGAAGGATCGCCGGAGCCCAGCAGGTCGAGGCTGCGGTGGCCAGGAGCAGCCACTGCACTCCAGCCTGGGTGACAGAGTGAGACTCCAACTAAAAAAAAAAAAAGAAAGAGATTTAAGCAATATACATACAATTAATTACAAATAAATAAATAATACATTCTTCCCTCTGAAATACCACCTAAGGTCATATGTTACATTGCCTTACATACTGAGATCCATTTCTGGATTCTCTGTTCTGGTCCACTAATTTATCAGCTTAGTCTTCTACCAATACCATATCGATGTAATAAAACCAGTATTATACATGGATATAAAGATAAGAACAGACACTGGGGACTCCTAGTGCTGGGGATGGGGAGGAGGACAAGGATTGAAAAATTACTTATTGGGTACCATATTCACAAGTTTTTTTTGGGGGGGGGAGTTGAAGTATCACTCTGTCGCCCAGGCTGGAGTACAGTGGCAAATTTTTATTTATTTTTAAGGTTTAACTTCAGGGGATCCACGAGCAGTTTAGTTACATGGGTGTATTACATGACAGTGTGGTTTTCACTTCTATTGAACCAGCTACCTAAATAGTGAATATCAACTGGGCGCAGTGGCTCATACCTGCAATGCCAGTACTTTGGGAGCCCAAGGCAAGAGAGGATTGCCTGAGCCCAGAAGTTCGAGACTAGCCTGGGCAACATGGCAAGACTTCGTCTCTACAATAAATTTTTTAAAAATTAGCCAAGCATGGTGGCACATACCCATAGTCTCAGCAAATTGGGAGGCTGAGGCAGAAGGATCACATGAGCCAGCAGGTCGAGGCTGCAGTAACCATGATCATGATGTCACTGTACTCCACTCACTGAAGCCTGGGTGACAGAGTGAGACTCTGACAAACACACACACACACAAATTAGGGGAGCTTAATCAATTTTTATTTATTAGGAAAACTAATAAGTAAATGTTTTGTTCTTTTTCTATCATAAAAAAAGAAAAAGTACTGTTATAGTATCTTCTGACGTGAGACAAATGTCCTCTAAAGTATTCTTTTTTCATATTTCCTTGGGTATTCTTCAGCATTTATTACAGTAAATAAAGCTAATTTTTCATCCCATTTTAAAATTTAGTTTATTTATTTTTAGAAAGCAAGAGTTTATTAAGAAGATAGAAAAGCTCCCACAGCAGGAAAGGCAGCAGGAAGGTCACCCTCATTCCATTTTTTAAAAAAAGACACCTTTAATGAGAACAATTGGAAATTAAATTGTTATGTTAACTTTTAGAACACAATGTATCTTTCCATTTGTTCAGAACTTGCTTTATAACCTTCAATAAGACCTTCTTACTTTCACAAAAGCCCTGCGCCTTTCTTATTAAATTTACTCACATGTATTTTTGGGGCTTTATACTACTATGAATGAAGTATTTCTCCCTTTCCATTTCTTTTTTTAATTTTTGAGTCGGAGTCTCACTCTGTTGCCTAGGCTGGAGTGCAATGGCATGCTCAAA